CAGCCACAAATCTCAGTCTGCTGGCATTGGTGGGGTTTTCAGGAACCATGAGGTGAAATGTATCTTATATTTTCAATCTCCTGTTAATGCTTTTGACTCACTTGAAGCAGAATGTCAAGCTGTTTTTTGGGCCATCATCTTAGCCAGATCTTGCCTGTTAGATCAGTTATGGGTTGAATCTGACTCCTTGCAACTTATTAACATTATCCGTGGGTATTCAGATACCCCATGGAACTTAATCAGTTGGATCTCTGGTATTCATCAATTGCTTAAATTTTGCTCTATCAAGTTCTCCCATATTCACAGAGAAGGAAATAGACCATCCAATTGGCTGGCTAGAAGGGGTCTCTATACAAAAGAACCTTTAGTGACCAGAAGGATTCCCCCCTCACTGGACTTTCTTTTATCCAGTGACCTGTTGCCTCTCCCTTATATCAGACAACACCTGTAGTGGGTTTGAGAGGATGCCTTCCTTTATAAAGGCTCCCTCCTGTCACCTCTTTTCTTTTCTTCCCTTTTGTATTTTGTTTTAATTTCTTTAATGATTTGGAGCTCTGCTCCTTACATAATATATATATATATATACTGAACATGTTGCTGGTGGCAGCTAGCATTGCTCTGCTAGGGTTTCTGCAAAAATGAGGGTGGTTGGTTGCCACTCTTTGACAACCTCCTTCACTGGTCGTTTGGTTTTGGGTGTTAGAAGGTTCTTTCTCCTTAGTGCTTCTCTTGGCTTCCTTATTGTTGTTTTGATTGCTTCCCGGGCTCTCTGGATTTTGAATTTTAAGTTATTGTTCCATTGCTTTTGTCCTTTTGAGTGTTTCCCTTGGAGATTTCCTTTTGGGCCTTACCTTACTTTGGTTGTTAAAGATACTTACTAAGGTTTCCTGTTGTTCCTCCCCTCCACTGGTCTTTGTTTTCTAGTTGAGTTGGTGGTTTTATCTGATGGCCACTCCTATTGACTTAGAGACCAATGTACAATGGAGTAAAGCCACTTTTGCTGATGTGGTTGGTAAAAGCTCCAATTTCCAAAGCTCTGTGGAAGTAATGGCTACCTTTCATGAAGGGGTAGGTAAGGGGGAGCTGCCTTTTGTTAAACAACTAAGCAAGAAGTCAGGGAAACCTGCTGCTTTATTTTCTGAAGCTGAAATCAATTCACTCTCATCCTCCTTTAAATTCACTTTGGTTGGTAAATTTCAATATGGCCATCCAAAAATGGAGGCCATTCGAAAGTATTTTGAAGATTTAAAACTACTGAGTGATTGGAAAGTTAGACTAATTGATGGAAGGCATTTCTCCATTCATCTTTCCAGAGAAGAAGACTACACCAGATTGTTTGCTAAGCAGATTCTGTATATTGAAGGAATGGCAATGAAATTACTGAAATGGCCATCTGAGTTTGATCCAAGTCAGGAACCCCCCATACTTCCTACTTGGTTCAAACTTCCAGGGCTAAAACATCACTTCTTCCACCATCAAGTGCTTTTCACAATAGGAATAGCTCTTGGCAGACCAATGAAAATTGATGTGCCAACCTACAACCTCTCAAGACTCTCTGCTGCCAGAATCCTAGTTGAAAGGGATATAACACTTCCTGAAGTGGATGAAATTTGGTTGGGAACAGCCCACAATGGCTCCTGCCAAAAGATTGTAATGGAACAAAAGACATATTACTGCACTCATTGCAAAATGTTTGGACACTCCAACACTAGATGCTTCAAACTCCATCCAAATACTAGAACTAACACAAAACTTCAAGAACCCACTTCAGTCCCAGCTGTTGCAAAAGAGCAACCTGTTGGTGGAGTGCACACTGAAGATCAGGATGGACCCAATGTACGGCACCTCAAGGAGTGATGGTAGTACCCAGTTCTGAAAATATTCATCCAGCATTTGTTGGTGAGCTAGAGCAAATTACTGCCATTGAAATACTGACTGACACAATACCAGCAGAGACAATTACCAGTCTTCCTGAGGATCCTTCCTCCTCAATGCAGATTCCTCCTCCCCCTGCAAACCTTATTCCTGTGGATAATGTTGTTGAACAGTTGGAGGAACTAATAAGGACAAAACCCTCCCAGCCTCCAACTTCTTCTGAAGTAGTCAAATCTTCAGACAATTTCAATGAATCATTGCATATCAAGGAACAGCAAGACCAATGCAATAATGGTTCTGCCTGTGTGGATGGTTGCAATGTTAATTTACACCAGATTGATGCTCTTCACAGAGAATTAGAAGAGGGTTGGCAATTGTAGAAAGCTAGGAAAAAAAAGAAACACACTGACCCTGATCCACAAGGAGGTACAATTGTCATAGAAGCTAGGAGCTCTTACTCCTCTAAAAGGGACTCCCTCACCAGACTTACAAGGGGAAGATCCAAACAATCTCATCATGATTAATTTAGTCTGTTGGAATATAAGGGGAGTGGCTCACCCACTCTCCTTAAAAAGGCTCCTCCATCTCAACAGAAAACACAAACTATGGTGCATTGCCATCCTTGAACCTATGGTTCATAAATATCCTCAAAAAATCCTTAACTAATTCCATGGTTTTTCACATCACTACAACTGTAACAATAAAATGTGGATCCTTCTCAGAAAAGAAATTACTTGGTCCATCCCATCTGAGTTTGATCCAAGTCAGGAACCCCCCATACTTCCTACTTGGTTCAAACTTCCAGGGCTAAAACATCACTTCTTCCACCATCAAGTGCTTTTACAATAGGAACAACTCTTGGCAGACCAATGAAACATGATGTGCCAACCTACAACCTCTCAAGACTCTCTGCTGCCAGAATCCTAGTTGAAAGGGATATAACACTTCCAGAAGTGGATGAAATATGGTTGGGAACAGCCCAAAATGGCTACTGGCAAAAGACTGTAATGGAACAAAAGCCATATTACTGCACTCATTGCAAAATGTTTGGACATTCCAACACTAGATGCTTCAGACTCCATCCAAAGACCAGAACTAACACAAAACTTCAAGAACCCACTTC